AGGAGGGGAAGACCCTCTATGAGATGGATTGATTCAGTGACTGGGGTAATAGGGATGGGTGTGTCAGAGGCGGTGCGGTTGGCGCAGCATAGAGCAGGGTTTAGGGCTGTTGTGCATAGGGTCGCTATGAGTCAGAAACGACTCGACGGCACATAACAACAACAATACTGTAATCAACAGATTTGTAAACTCAATTCGACATTTCCTGCAGCCTTGCTAACACATCTGTCTCCTTTTCCTCAGCTGAATGAAGAAACCCAGGAATATATATTGAACCTTTTCCAGCGCTATGTGGAAGATGGTTTATATTTTATCAATAAAAAGTGTACCCAAGCAATTCCACAAGTGAACATCAGCAAAGTTACTACCCTCTGTTGTCTATTGGAGTCCTTGATGTTTGGAAAAGATGGAATTAACTTGGCAATGGTATGGAAGGTTTTGTTACTGCCATGAAGCTGGGGAAAATGGGTAGTTGGCAAACAGCTCTGATATGTTTTAAGGTGAATTTTCAGGGTACTGGTAACTGTGATTCGATTAGATACATAGAAACTCAGAAGTTGGAAGGAATGTTAGGGACCTTTTAGTTTACTGGTCTGTTCAGTGTTTGAATTCGTTCAGTCTCTTATTCCAGTATATGTGTATCTAGCAACTGTTTAAATATCCGCATGTGGCACCAAACAGTTCTAATAGACAGTTGTAAGGCAACCTTGGGGTTTTCTCTGTATACTCTTTGCCATTCATTTTATCACCAGGATGTTCAAAGACATACTTCTGAAAGCAAACATTGTTCTTTGGACCATCCCACGGGAAATCAGAAATTCACACCTTTAAGGATGCATCTAAAAGAGAGGGAGGGGAAATTCTTTGGACAACACAATTTAGGATTTTTCTTATAGTTAAATATAAAGTACTAAAACAGTTTATTCTTTCAGGAACAAACAAAACTGAACACTGTTGTATGTCAAACTTTTGTATTCTGTTATTTATGGTCTGTGGGCGGAAACTTAACTGAAAACCACTGGGATGCTTTTGATACATTTATTCGGACACAGTTTGATGACAATCCTGATGCCAGGGTAAGAGTCAAATAAGTCCAATGTTGGAGTGATTATTCCAAATCGTTGAAGTTCAATATTAAGATCAAACCTTTAAGAATCTCATTTCTACTCTAGATATGTATATTCTTGACTAAAAGTATTTTTTTTCATTTTCTACTTTTTCAACCTTGTTGTTCTTGTATGCCATCGAGTTGGAGCCAACCCATATCTGACCTGCCTTTCAGAGGCAGTAATTACATGGCAGGAGATTGCTCATCTTTCTCCCAAGGAGCAGCTGGTGGTTTCAAACCACATACCTTAGATAGCACTTATTATGCTTAGAAAAAAATAATATTTTTCTAGTCATAAGAACAGATTAAGGTGTAAACAATGTACATAAATATGCTCTGATATGCCACAGACTATTAAATTCTAGTTAGATTTCTTTGTCATGCTGTAAATAATTAGCAAGTCTAGACTTCCTGGAATTCATAGCCATTGCTGCTGAGTTGGAATTGACTCATAGCTGGTCCCATAGTAGGTTTTCAGGGGCTATAACCTGCTCAGGAGGAGATCACACATCTTTCTTCTTTGGAGCCACTAGTGGATTTGAACTGCCAAAGAGGAGCCACCTTTGGGTCAGAGGTACAACTCTTTATGGATTATGTGGGCTATGCCACTGGAGATTTTTTTAAAATAAGAAAACTATAAATCTATACTTATAATAAAAATGTACTTTCTCTAGGGAACTCTGGTAGCCCAAGTGTAAGGAGCTATGATGCAATCCCAAAGGCAAACTGTTTGAATCTACCAGCTGCTCCAGGGGAGAGAGATGGGGCTCAGCTGTGAGTCCGTTTCAATTCGACAGCATTCAATAGCAAAAACAGTTATGTACAGACATACATTGTGGAGAAAGAAATACTATTTCATAGAGGAATGGAAACTAATCTATGCAGAAGGAATGATGGAGTTACAAAGTCATCATTTTACAACCATTATAGTGATAGTTGATTTAGACAGGATAGATGCATGGATGCACAAACTAGTGAAGGAATTTTACATGATGAACAGAATACTTACAGAGCTTCTAAGTGTATGTCCACAAATTACTGATTATTTGCAAAAGATGAAAGTAGTCTTCTAAAAGTATAGGAACCTTTCAGGCCTAAACTCCCTTGCCCAAGACAGGGTATTTTCCTTTAGCATCCAGTGTTGCCATCCACTGCCCAGCAGTGAGTGTGTTGTCCTGCAGTGGCCTATATGTTGCTATGGCACTGGCAGTGCTGCCCATAACATGCTCTGCCACCCTCAGGACCTTCTCATATCTATGCAACCTTTCTGAATCATCCTAATTGGTCAAGAGGGTCTACATGGATAACAGCTGGACATCTAAAACAGACCCCCACAGGGCCACAGGAAAGTGATCTGGTACTTGCATGCACGGTAGTCCCACAGCTCCATCTTCCTAACCTGTGTTCTCAGCCTGAACTTTCACTCTTTCTCCATCCTCATCTCCATCCCATCTCTTCTTCACCTTTCTTATTCCTGCTTGTCAAAGGGCAAGTCTGAGCTGTAGCTTCACTGAACGCTGGAAGCCTTCCTGAACCTCCAGCCATCACTGTCACCTCCCGGGGGGGGGGGGGGCAGGAGGAAAGGAGCCATCCTCCTTTGTGAAAATGCTCTTCATTCATTGTTGCCTTTAGGTGTCACTGTCGGGGCGAGTATGACACACAGTGAGCCTGCGAATAGCAGACTGGAACTCTATCCTGTACTGTGTCATCCTCATCATCTCTGACACACTTGAGCCCATTGCTGCAATTACTGTGTCAATCCATCTCATTGAGGGTCTTCCTCCCTGTCACTGGCCCTCCACCTTTCCAAGCGTGATATCCCTCTGCAAGGAATAGCCTCTCCTAGCAACATGCCCAAAATTTATGAGACGAAGCTCTGTGATCTTTGCCTCCAAGGAGCACTCTGGCTGCACCTTCTCCAGGACACAGGACCTTTTATTCCCACCCGCGCTGACTGCCCTGTTTATCTTCCCACAGACGGAGGGCACAGTCCTGGAAGGAAAGGTTAGGTCTCACTCAGCACTGTGCCCCAGTCCTAAGCACAGTGGTAGATGTGAAGCTGAAACTCTACAATTTTGAATTGCGCTTCAGTGATATGATCATAGTCAATTTTATAGTACAGTGGTTACCTGCTCTGCTGCTAGTTAAAAGGCTGGTGGTAGGAGCCCGCCGGCTTTTCTTTGGGGAAAGATGAGAGACTGTTGTTGTTGTTATTATTGTTGACAACCAGAAAGACTACAGCCTAGGAATCCCTCAGAGGCACTTCTATTCCATCCTATAAATTCACTAGGAGTCAGAATTCACTAAAAAAAAAAAATCACACACAACAATGGTATAATCAGTATATTGAATTTTCTCATGCTTGCTACCACAAGCCTATGCTTCAAGTATTAAGAGTCTGCAGCCTCAATAATGACCTTTTTTCCTTAAAAAAAAAGAATAAAAGAATTAGTGACTGGAGTAATGGGGGTAGGTATGTTAGAGACAGTAAGGTTGACTCAGGATAGAGCAGGGTTCAGAGCTGTTGTACATAGGGTCGCTATGGGTCACAAGCGACTCAACAGCACATAATAAACACAATAAATGCTCCCATGTTTGCTGACTTGACTTGTTTCTGTGTAATTATCTCTATTGTCATGAGTTCACCCTGTTGAAGGTGGTGTTTAATCTCACACTTTAGCTTCCCAGTTCTGGCGATCTGTGGAGTGTTCACATCGACTTTGAAAATAGACGGCTGGATCCCTGGGAGCGAATCATCCCCTCCTTCAAGTACAGTCGAGATGTCCCATTCTTTGAAATGCTTGTCCCCACAGCTGACACAGTGCGCTTTGGCTATCTGATGGAAAAGCTCCTGGCCGTCAGGCAGTCTGTATTGTTTACTGGAGTGACTGGAGTCGGCAAGGTAGGAAGCCCCCCTCAGACAAGAATGTCTAAAGCAGAAAGCTGAGAGTATGCTGACTTAGAATTGGAAGCAACAGGAATCATACATTCTTCCTCAGGGGGAATGGTGTTGCACATTGTTTGTTGTGGGAGGATGTATTCCTGAATCTATGTGGGCCCTAGGGAGCTCTAGTGACCTAGTGGTATACTGGTTAGCCTTGCTGTGCTACAAGCCCAAAGGTATGTGGTTCAAATCCACCAGCTGTTCTGTGGGAGGATGGCAAATCTCCTGTGCAATTTATTGCCTCTGAAAACCTGCTGGAGTGTTGGCTAACAGCAGCAAGATAACTAAATAGCAAAATACCAACTTGAAAGCAAACAGCAACATGTGGACTTCTATGAATATGTGAATTGTCTCCAAGTTGGCCATTTTCTGAATAAATTCTTGATGCTGCTATTATACAAACTAGATGATCCTATGGGGCATCATTCATGTTTTGGTGCCATGGAATTGCACCCCTTGGAATTTCTGGGGCTGCTCACTGTGTTAGAATGGGGATTAGTATCAATCCGTCTCTTCCACCTGTTTACCCACAACCACAGTGTCACTTGACTGGCTGCTTAACTTGTCTCCACAACAGTCAAAAGCTTGGGGGATTCCACATAAGCAGGATGCAACACCTCCAGCGTCCAGTATTTCAAAAAAGGATTCTTGCTATTAAATTGGCTTGTACAGTAGTCAAAACTGTTTTGGATATAAAAATAGAAGGATGCTTTTGATTGAAATAATCAGTTAGAATATTTGTCTGGCTATCTTGACTATGACTCACTGGTGTCTTCGGTTAGAGATAAACAGACTTTAGAGTATAGCTCCCTCTTCCTACCTTTTGTTGTTGTTTATTCTCATCATATTAGATTATTGCTAATGTAGACAATTGGAAAATATTACATCAGCTTTCAAATAAACTGTTTCTTTAAATTTAAAGTCTGTTATTGCTAAAGGATTGCTAAATAAAATTCAAGAATCAGCTGGCTACGTTCCTGTTTATCTAAATTTTTCTGCTCAAACTTCATCTGCAAGGACACAAGAAATTATTGAGTCAAAACTGGAACGGAAAAGAAAAAATATTCTGGGTAAGAATTAGCACATTTTAGTTCCCCATGAAAGTTATTTATTAAGGTAACAAATCACTGAAACAGCACACATGAGTAATTTGGATTATAAAATTCTTGCTTTAATAAAAATTCCTTAAACCATGAAAAACAAAAACAGTGTATGTAATAAAACTCCACTTGGACAGTGTAATTTATTGGCTTTCTCTTTAAAGGTGATTCTCTTATTAATATTCTTTCTAGGATTAGGTTTCTGGGTATCATCCTGCTGGAAAACGAAGACTTTCCTTCATCATCATCAACTCTGAACACCTTCACTCTCTGCCTGTTTGTGTTCTGCCTCCGCTACCTAAGTTCCAAAATCCACCTTGGTTTTCCTTTATTTAAAACACAGAGTCAACTTATTTATAATTGGCTCGGTGAATTATCTGAATCACTGAGAAGCCAACATAAAACTGCTCTATTATACTTGGCAAGAAGCTGCACTGCAATCCCAGAGGTCCACGGTTTGAATCCACCAGATGCTGTGCTAGAGAAGGAGGGGAAATCTCCTCCTGTACCAGTCAGATCCAATTTGACGTTGTTGTTGTTGTTATGTGCCGTCGAGTCGTTCGCGACTCAAAGTGACCCTATGCACAACAGCCCTAAACCCTGCTCTATACTGCGCCAACCGCACTGCCTCTGACACACCCATCCCGATTTCTCCAGTCATCGAGTCAATCCATCTCATAGAGGGCCTTCCCTCCACCCTCCCAAGCATGATGTCCCTCTCCAAGGACCCGTCCCTCCTGGCAACATGTCCAAAGTATGTCAGACGAAGCCCCAGAATCCTTGCCTCCAAGGTTTAATCCTCTCCAAGGTGAATCTGTTTGTTTTCCTGGCAGTCCATGGTACATTCAGTACTCTTCTCCAGCACCACAGCTCAAAAGCATCCACTCTCCTTCTGTCCTCCCTAGTCATTGTCCAACTCTCTGATGCGTAACAAGCGATTGCAAATACCATGGCCTGTATCAGGTGCACCTTAGTCTCCAGAGAGACACTGGAGACACTGTTGCTCCTGAGTACTTTAGAGAGGTCCCTAACAGCAGACTTTCCCATCGCGATATGCTTTTTGATTCCCTGACTGCTGGTGCCAAGAGTGTTGACTGTGGAGCCGAGCAAACTGAAGCTGTGAACAATCTCAATCTCTTCGTCATCCATCTTGACGCTGCCAATTGGTCCAGTGTTGAGAATCTTTGTCTTCTTGACACTGAGCCTCAGTCCATACTGAAGGCTGCAGTCCTTGACCCTTCGCAGCAAGTGCAAAGGGTTCTCCTCAGTTTCAGCAAGCAGGGTTGTGTCATCTGCATAATGCAGATTGTTAATAGATCTTCCACCAGTCCTGATGCCACAATTCTCCTCATAGAGCCCAGCCTCTCGGATAATCTGCTCTGCATACATGTTGAAAAGGTATGGAGACAGGATGCATCCCTGGCACACACCCTTCCCAATTTTGAACCATGCAGTGTTACCCTGCTCTGTTCTGACTACTGCCTCTTGGTCCAAGTATAGGTTTCGCATTAGCACAATTAAATATTCTGGGATTCCCATTCTTCTCAGAGTCAGCCACAGTTTGTTATGATCCACACAGTCAAATGCCTTTGCATAATCAATGAAACACAGATAGACATTCTTCTGGTATTCTCTGCTTTCAGCCAAGATCCATCTAACATCAGCAACAATATCCCTAGTACCACGACCCCTTCTAAACCCAGCCTGGACTTCCGGCAGTTCTCTGCTGATGTGCTGTTCTAATCGTTTTTGGATAATCTTCAGTAGAATCTTGCTTGCATGTGAAATCAGTGACACTGTTCTGTAGTTTCCACACTCAGCTGGGTCACCTTCATCCAGGAAGAGTGCAGGCGGTCATTACAAAGACAGAAGCTGAACAAAAGACCAAAATGGATGTCAGAAGAGACTCTGAAGATTGCACTGGAGCATAGAGAAACCAAAGCACAAGGAAGAATTCAAGATACTAAAGAGCTGAACAGAAGATTCCAAAAGGCTGCTCGGAATGACAAAGCAAAATACTACAACGAAATGTGTGAGGAGCTAGAGTCAGAAAATCAAAAGGGCCGAACTCACTCAGCATTTCTTAAGTTCAAGGAACTGAAGAACAAATTCAAACCTAGAGTTGCTGTAATCAAGGATGCTTTGGGCAGAGTATTAAATGATCCAGGAAATATTAAAAGAAGATGGAAGGAATATACTGAGTCACTATATAGAAAGGAATTGGCAGATACAGAGGAATTTAAAGAAATAACATATGAGCAAGAGCCTATGGTGATGAAGGAAGAAGTTCAAGCTGCTTTGAAGGAAATAGCAAAAAATAAGGCCCCAGGAATAGATGGTATACCAATTGAAGTATTCCAGATAACAGATGTTGCCCTGGATGTGCTCACCAAGTTGTGCCAAGAAATATAGAGAATAACCACTTGGCCAACTGACTGGAAGAGATTTGACGTTACACACGCAAAAAATAACCATAAAATAAAATTTTTAAAAACCCCAACTCTTCTATTTTTCTCTTCCAGTGGTTTCGACCAGGCTTTGTGTTTTCTTGGGATCTCCCTCATTATTTCTCTTGATTACTAATAATTTAGATATACTAGCAGAACTTTCTAGTTATTCTAAGTCCGGTCCATTATAATGCCCCAAATCCAAACCTAACTTAAAGTTTTGCCGCTCCTCTACCGTAAGGCAGATTTGTTGCTCAAGGTTCTGCAGGTGGAGAAGGCATGGGGATCCCTTTTCTTCCTTTCCGCCTCCTCTGGGAGACTTTAATGTGTTTGGGCTGAGAGGGAGTAAAGATAAAGATGAATATCTTTCCCCTAGCACATGTCCACATGGTTCTCTTCATGGATTTAGGAGCCCTTGTGGTAGTACATTATGTGATGTACTGCTAATCAAAAGGTGAGAAGTTTGAATCCACCAGCTGCTCTGCAGGAGATATACAGGCAATGTCATTCCATAAAGACTGTAAGCCCAGTGGGAGGTTGCCCATCGTCAGAACTGACTTCACCGCAGTACTGGATTGGTTTGTTCTTAGTGGACTGACCCTGCTTCCCTGGCTGGCACGGATGACTATCCACGCTGCCTGGGAGGCGGTCTCTCCTTAGTGATTCCCAGAGCCCTGCCCAGGCCAGGCACTCACTGGCTTCCCACTGGAAGGTGGTCTATCGGTGGGAGCCAGACCCTCATCCCCTACTCAGCCTTAACTTCCAGCAGGGTCCCTCACAGCCTCATGTGCTTGGGGTCTGCTTGCCCAGTCAGAACCATTGTGGGTGGGGCTGGCCGGATCTTGAACATCCACTGCTGTTTACACTGCTCACTGTCTTGCTGGCTTTCCTGCCCTAAACAATGGTCCTTATGCTCCTATGTCTTTTCTCCTGATCAGATAGCGGGCAACAGATGCCCATCTGTCTGTCTGGTAGAGGCTACAGCTTTATGCATGATTTTCTTAGTCTGTCCTCATCCTATTCTCTATCACCTGGCTTCCAGGGCATAAGATGGGACCCAGCACTGAACTTACCTCCTGTTACCTTCGAAATAACTCCTGCAATGAGTTCCAACCCTAAGGTTCTGGTTGTTGGTGAAATTGCCTCTGCTCAAGTTCTTCTCCTGCCCTATCATCACTCGTCCTTTTACTTTTTTTGATGAGTGTGTGTCTCAACTTCCTGTACCTAATTTCCTTTGGAAATGTTCAGGATGCTCTTGAATGGCCAACCTGATTTTCCCTATGGGGGTGATGGATGCATGTGTGTGAGGAAGCTTCAGTGTCCTGCTTCAGTGTGAAAAGGGAAGGGCCTTCTTCACCCCGTGCTCAGGCCACACAGCTGGCACCGACAGAAGCTGTAAATGAGACCAAGGAAAACTGAGATCTACCTGGAGTCATAGGCCTCTGAGAGCGAAGGGGGCGGCTGGCATTGAGTGTATCCTGTCCAGATCCATGACTCCCTGCAGTCGTCCAGGTGGGGCCAGAGGAAGGGGCTCCTCGGGGAAGAGTCCACTAGAGCCTACCTCACTCCTTCTGACCTGTTAGGGTTCAAGGTAGTCCCAATTCATATACAAGCTTTGTCTAACATTTTCAAGGGCAAATCATAACTCTTAAATTCACTCTTCCCACCACCCACCCAGGAGCACCAGGAAACAAACAAGTAGTGATTTTCGTTGATGACTTAAACATGCCCAGACTGGACCGCTATGGCTCTCAGCCTCCCATTGAATTACTCCGGCAGTACCAAGATTTTGGTGGATTTTATGACAGAAGCAAACTCTTTTGGAAAGAAATACAGGTTACTTTGGGTTTTAAATTACTCTGTGCATTTCCATTTTAAGTAGTTTCTATTTAAGAGAAGGAATACAACCTGTTTATCTTTGCCTTTAATTTATTCCATTTAATCCATATAATTCAGCTGAGTTTCTGCCATGCTTGATCCACACACAGGCAGCATCTCAGCCTCCCAAGGACTCAGCTTCAGGGTGGACATGGGCATTCTCTCATACAGCAGTGTGATGAATGGAGAGATGGGGGGAGGGGGTTGTGGTGGGCTTGAAGCTCTATTTTGAAAACAGAGGATGACAAACCATGGGAAGGGAATGTTTTCCAGCTCAGAAATCAGTAATGTGAGATACTGGAACGTATAATGTGTGAGACCCAAACCAGTAGGAGAGGCCGCAGCAAGTTATACGTCCTACAGAGAGCCTTACATGATGCTAAGACAAGGTTTGTGAACTTATCCTGTGGGTTACATGGAACCTCTGAAGAAAATATATAGGAAAAAGTCCCATTGCCTGCAGAGTGGAAAAGGAGAAGACAAGAGCAGAGGCAACTATGAGAGAGAATGAGAGTTGGAGCGCCTGTCATGGTGAAGTCTCTGACCAACAGAGTTGAGGAAGAACATAGGCAGGGCTGTGGGGTATGGAGATAAGGGAAAAGTAGGAACCTAGGTTGACTGCTGTATTTCTGTTCTGGAAAATGTGACTTGCCATCCTAGACAGAAGATAGGAGTGTTTCATTTTGTTCACAATAAAAACAAACATTTGGGTTTTGAGGCACTGTTCTAAATGCCTCCTGCTTGCTAACTCATTTATCTCTACCAACATTCTTTGGGATAGTTAGAACTACTAGTCCCATTTTGTAGATGAATAAATAGGCCAGAAAATTGCTGGTTAAGTAACTACCTAAATGGCATAACTGGCATTAGAACCCAGGGTGTTCAACTCACAAACCTGTGCTTTCAGCTAATATGCGTCCCTGCCCCATGTTAAGCTCAAGTGTCTTAGGGCATTTTAATAGGGTTCCATCAAGCGGTTAGATTCTTAAAAATGAAATCTAGAGAAGGGATGGGAAGGAAATGAAAGATTTAGAAGGACAACCAAAAGTCAGAGCATAGGTTATTGTTCGAAGGCAGAGAGGCAGACTGATTTAGACTTTCATATATACTGACAACTTAATGCAACGTAATTGGCACAATGTATATCAATTTTAACTGCAAGAGTGGTACAAAGCCCATTCATTCATTCATTCAACAAATATTTCTTGTGGTCTGCTGGGGTTTTTGTGAGAATGAAGTCAGATAATGTTTCTGAAACATGATGCAATGCTCACGTTTGGAAGGCCCTCACAAAGCTAGCTTTGAGTCCTGCACCTGGAATGGGCAGAGTGACTCTGGTGGCCCTCTCTTTCCTACTCCCCAGGATATCAGGATCGCTTCAGCCTGTGCGCCTCCAGGTGGTGGCCGCAACCCTGTGAGCCCTCGCTTCATCAGGCACTTCAGCATGCTGTGCCTGCCTTTGCCCTCAGAGCACAGCCTGAAACAGATTTTTCAGGTGAGTGCACATCTAAATTCAAGCAAGAGGGAAGTGGTATATATCCACATAGAGGAACAGATCCCGGAAACAGGATCTCTGTGATATGATCAGCGGTGTGGAGTGTTCTTGTAACTTTTGCCTGTAGTTATGAAGTTGTTGTTGTTGTTGTGTGCCATCGAGCCAGAACCGACCCATAGCTGACTCTCCATTGGGTTTTCAGGGGCAATTAATTCCATAAGAGGAGATTGTCCATCCTTCTTCTGTGGAGCAGCTGATATGATAGAGCACTGAATTAGAGAATCTTGTGTTTAATGGATTAGGGCAAACTCAGGGTTTTCCACACAAAAATTTTATTCTTCATTGTTCTAAAATGTTTTCTTAAGTGGGAAGGATAGGATAAAGCCTGAGTTTCTGGCAATGAGATTGTCCCAGAACCTCACCAGAAGCCCAGGTAGAAAGTGTGAAGAGGGTGGTGGCAGGAGAATCAGTGGGAACAGACCAACTTAAGAAATATATTCAAGGTTGACAGTGGGGGACAAACAATGGCAAAGAGACTACTCAGTTGCTCACCTGGTGGAAGTTGGGAATCTTTACAGAGGTGGAAAAAATGTGGAGATGGGAGAATTTCATAGTTATCAGTAAGCCATGCTTTAAATATCCATCCACTCATAAAAATCAGTGAAAGGACTTCAGTTTATTTCCACAGGAGCTTGCACCCTCCATGGAGACCCTCTGGGCCCACCTTCAAGCTGGGATCTAAATCACTCGACAGTGCAGCATGTAGTCCATTAATTAGATCTGAATGCCGCTCAGACATCACTGAGCAATCAGAGAAGACAGGAGCAAGCTCGTTCTTGAGAATACACCCAGAAGAGTGAGCGTGGGACATTGGTACCCACGTGTCCTTCCATCATTGGAATTTGGCTTTCTGGTTATTAGTAGGAAAATTATCCTCAGGTCTGGACCACTGAAAGATAAATACTTGGTTTAAAGAATATAAACAAGAATCTAACCCTTTATGTTTCTGTTCCAGTCCATCTTAAATGGCTTCCTGCTTGACTTCACACCAGCTGTAAGGCAAACTGCATCAAACATTGTTGAAGCTGCAGTTGAAATTTACAACAGAATGAGTATTGACCTTCTGCCAACACCAGCCAAGTCCCATTATGTCTTTAATTTGAGAGATTTATCTAAATGTGTGCAAGGTAGTATATTGAAGCCTCACTGTTTGACCTAGACACAAAAGCCCCCAAAATCTCACCATAGATAGACATTTTTTTCCAATTCCTAGTGTGGTGGCTCTGTGATTTTGTTTTTTGATTGTGCTTTTCTCCTCTTCTCCTGTGGCCAGGTTCTTCCTTCATAGGAGCCATTGGAAAGTGGCAAACCCCTTGTCAGCATGACACTATGACTTGATTTTGTCATCTTTTACTGAAAATTTATCATCCCTTATTAGCAACTTAGCCTTTTTATCAGTAAATTAACATTTCCTAGAAATCTTTGAAAATAGTTGTATTTCTTTCAGTAGCAATGAGCTGTTTTAGACTAATTTCCTGGACCTCTCAGACATTGTCGAATCCAGTCTTTTATGTATTACCCTTCCCACTGCCTTTCTTTTCCTATCTTTTAGATAGCTTCTGGGCCTCAAAAGCTGAAGTCTATTTATTTCTGAAAATAATATAAAACAACCATGAAATGTCAATTTTTATTATCTTTCCCATTGTTTGTGTGTATCATTAAAATGTCCTGGAAATTGCTTTCTTTTCACTAATAAAGAAATTAAAACTTGAATCCTTTCAAAATACGTAGATATCAAATACACACAAACAAATGTGAGCTGCAAAGAAAAGGTATAACATCAATATATCTATAGCTACAATATGAGCAGCCCATTTTATGTTCTGTCATACACACTGTGTGTGTGTGTGTGTGTGTGTGTGTGTGTGTGTGTGTGTGCATACTAGATACTCGTCATACAATATCTTGCAATCCTATGTAATAATGAAATCAACATTGCTCACACTGAGAAGTCTGGTTATTTCATGTGTTCCTTTAAAGAAACATCACAAAACAGTAAAAAAAAAAAGTGCTTCCAACTTTGGGTTTAAAAACAATACCAGTATTATGTGTATGTGCACAGGGACTAAGGGACTACAACCATTTTTGGTTGTCATTGTTGCTACACCATTGAGTTGTCTCTGTCTTGAGGACCCTTTGTACAACAGAACAAAACATTGTCTCACACTGCATCATCCTCACTGACTCTATTTTACTTAAGCCATTGTTGTAGCCACTGTGTCATGGTCATCTCCTTGGGAGTCTTTCTCTTTTTTCACTTGCTCTCTACTTTTCCAATCATGTTGAATTTCTTCTGATAGCATGTCCTACCTATGTGAGAAATAGTCTCACCAGCTCACATCAAAGAACATTCTCAGTTGACTTCTTTCAAGCTAGAATTTTTTGTGCTTCCATGGCAGTCCTATTTCCAATCTTCTGTTTAACTCTCTTATCATTTTTGGTAATGTGGGGCAAATTTGGACCAAAGAATTTCCTAATTAATAACTTTCACTATATATCCCACAAAACTTTTCTCTTAAAACCAGGTATCCTCCAATGTGATTCAGGAACAATAAGAGAAGAAATACAGATATTTAGACTCTTTTGTCATGAATGTCAGAGAGTTTTCCATGATCGTTTGATTAATAATGAAGATAAACACTATTTCCATGTTATTTTGACAGAAATGGCAAGTAAGTGTAAATTTTCACTCATTTGTTGTGTTGTTTGTATTGACCTAAGGTTTGTGTGTTTTTTCCTGGTAGAAAAAAAGGAATAAGACTTCTATAACATGAGTTTAAGTACTGCTTTACAAAAGGAATTTTAGTCATTCCTCAGTAAAATTTCTTTAATGGTTCAGATACAAGATTTATTATGAAAATTGTTTTTAGATCCATGAACTAATATTTTAAATTATGTGTAAACAGAAAATAAGAGAACTAGTATTTTGTATGAAAAAAGGCATGTATATTTCTAAAGCACCTCTTACAATTAAATAATATAGTCACTTTATTATTTAATAAAAATGTTAAATATTTATTATATATTTAATCTTAAATCATCATTGTAAGTCACACTAAAGTTAACAATGTTCAATGTTAACATGTCTCTCAGTATTCATTTATGCTAAGTCTCCTAAGTAAAGTAATAGCTGATTTTATTATTTACATTGTATCATTAAAATACCACAGTCAAACTTGTCTGTCATTATATTAAAATTAATTTCATATTTTAAATAGATAAACACTTTGGAATTGCAATTGACCTGGAATATTTTTTAAACAAACCCATCATATTTGGAGATTTTATTAAGGCAAGTATACTTGAACTAACTGCATTTTAAGATTTTTGAAGCACTTAATATTTTCCAATTCAGGTTCAAATGCTATTAGAACTTTACATTTGTAAAGATTAAAGCTCTAGACCAGAAGTCAGAGCTAAGTCCATCCCCTTTCTGTTTTTGTAAATGAAATGCTTCTGGTAAATAGCTGCACCTATACACTTTGGTTAGTAAAATCTTTTTATAAATTCACACAAATACATACACCCTCTCACTAGTGTCAGAGTGGAGAAATAATAATAAAAACTATTTTACCCACAAAGTCTAAAATATTTGCTATCTAACCCTTTACAGAAAATATTTGCTGACCCCTGGTCTATTTTCATTTTCGTTTAAATTGGAGAACAATCAAGCATTTGATTCCAGAAAGAGATCAAAGAAGTTTAGTCTTTTAACTCAGGACCAGGATCCCCTGTGGCACTGTATGGACAATCCTGCCTCTGCTCAGTCACAGCCAGAGATGAGAAGCAACTTGGTTAATAGAGTTGCCCTCTTCATGTCAGTATCACTCTAATTAGTAGAATTTTTTAAAATCTTATGTTAAAGATCTATAACCTCAATAACACATGGCCCTCATTTACTCTCTGGATCAGTCTAGAATAATTTTGATCTTACCACCATGTTGACTTTACTTACCACCTCTTTTGACAGATTGCCATTGTGTTTCACCAAATTTACTCTTTGGTTAAAACATATTTCACTTCTCCAAGAGTGTAGATACCAGTCCTATTTGTTCACTCTATATCCTCACCTTCCTACAGAGAACTAGATATGCAGTGGACATTCAGTCATTAAGTCAAACAAATAAATAAACTCATGTATATTTGTAGACGTGTATGAGTGTGTATACACACACATACACACATGATACTTCATTCCTCCTCTGGGTCAATATTTTTGTTATGTGCCATCAAGATGCATAACAATCCTAGCGGACCAAGTGAAGCTGCCCTTTAAGATTTTCTAAGCTGTTATCTTTAACAACTTTATCTTTATTACCTTTCTTTGCAATGTACACAAATATTGATCTCTTCCAATGGGCTGGCCAAAATTCCTCTGAATTTCTGGACATAGAGGAGTTAGTGAGCACTTTGGGCACTTTAGAATCCATGAATTGAAACATTTCATTTAGCATTCCATCATTTCCTGGAACCTTCGTTTATTGCATCTTTAGTTTCTTCCTGCAATGCCATAATTTTCTTCAGTATTTTTTAATATATCAAGGACTTGCAGGACAACAGAAAAACCTGTCCTGGAAGACATGCAGCCAGCAAACTCCTTAGAAGTTGAGGTTGGCTGGCCACAAAGGTGGTAAGAAGAAGCCCCTGAAACAGCCCAAAAAGCAGAGCAAGGAGATGAACAAAGAAGAGAAGGCTTTCAAGAAGAAACAAAGAGAAGAACAGAAGAAACCTGAGTAGCTCTTTGCCACCTGTAGTTAAAATGAAGTGTTGTCTTAAAGCCTGTTGTACATTTTAGGAAGAAACTTTGTGAAACAGTGAAGAAGAAGAAACCCTATGATGGTCCATCTCCAGTTCTCACTCAGCCATTCCGATCTTAGCTGTGAAAAGTAAATGAAATCCAGAATCCTGTAAGAATCTCCTCTTTGTTCTTTGTTATTATGCCCAGAAGTCTGTATCACCTGGAATTAAACCAATGCATTTGAAGTAAAAAAAAAAAAAAGAAGAAGAAGTTGAGGTTGGTGAGATTTCATCTTACACACGTTAGACAGATTAGTAGGAAGGGTAAATCCCTGGAAAAAGATTTCATACTTGGTTGGTAAAGTGAAGGATCAGTGAAAAACAGGACCATCCACAATGAGATGGGCAGAGTGGCTACCGCCATGGACTAAAGGACAGCAGTGATTATAGGAACAACAGAGGACCACACGTTGCTGCATTCTGTTATACACAAGGCAGATAAGTCACAAACAATCCAACGTCACCTCACAACAACAGTCTTTAAGGGAACAGACATCAGCATTTCCTCTCAGAGAGTGACTACCATCCTTTCAGTTAGCAGTCAAACACCTATTGAGACACCAGGGTTTGTCATATGAATATTGTTTGCTAACAAATATTTGTGTGGAAGTTTATTTTCTCATAGAGATTATGCCCCGTGTGCTCCTAGTGATATTATTATCAAATGGGAAAATAAATCAAAAGAAAAAGTACGGCCAGACTTTTCTTGGATTATCTGTACATGTTTTAGTGAAAATTCCCCCCAGGTGGCTGCTTAAAGGAGAGAAAAGACATCATCAGTAGGTGGATTTGTACTACTACCCAATACATGCAGTAGGCACTACTAGTCCTGTAGTACATACTACATAGTACATACTAGTGCTACATAGTTACTATAGTACTAATTGTACTACCCACTATAGCATCTCCTCCGACATAACAACCCCACATGTATGAGAGTAGAACTATCCTCCACTGAATTCTCATTCGTTGATATTTCAGAAGTAAATCACCAGTTCTTTCTTTCAAGGCACCTTTGGATATACTTGAATTGTTGTTGCTGATTGCTGTCCAGTCAAGCACGACTCATAGCAACTCTATGAACAATGACCTAATGCCTTTCCTTATCTGTTGTCGTTTCTCCAAGTTCATAGAGTTTCCAAAGGCATGTGGTTTAGGAGGTGAATGCCACTCCTACTTCCAAACCTGTTTTACAACTGGAAACTCCACCAAACACTGTCCACATTGGGAGACCATTATGATATTTGACACCCCAGGGGCATGAGATTCAGCATCACAGCAAACTCAGATTTCTTCACTAAAGCATATTGGAGAAGAGTGATGTACAAAGTAGAAGAATGTTCCTCCAAATATAACAACAGTAGTCTCATTTAGCATGGGTTAAGTGTCATCAGGTCAAATACGACTCATAGAGACCCTATGAACAATATAGCTGAACTCTGTTCTTTAATTGACTTAATTTCTGTATGTTTGTAGAGTTTATAGCCAATATGTTTTCAGTGACTCAAGCAGAGACTCAATTCCTGTTTGCAGTAGCCTGCAACGTGGATTTCATTCTCAACAATTTCTTTAAACCAGGAGACTACTGTGCTGTGCTGTGCTGTGCTGTGCTGTGCTGTGCTGTGCTGTGCTGTGCTGTGCGGTGCTGTGCGGTGCTGTGCTATGCAAAAACATGTAGTTGAGACTTCCATCACGATGGCAGACTAGGCAGATAGCAACCCGGAGTCATAATCTGGTGCAGACAGACTGACAGTACCCTTGAGATCATCATGACCTCTGCCTCCAGAACTCTGCCTTACCCAATGGAGCCCCCTATGTCAGCAGAGGTGCTGTGCAGGGCCGGGCACCTCTTAGGACCTCTCTGGTACCTCTGAGATGAGCAGAAATTCTACCCAGACTGGCACTCAAACTACAAATTTTTGCTTCACCAGCAGAAACACCAACACAGAGCAGACCTCTTGCCCCATGCCCCACAGCAGTGGGGAGAGCAAAAATCAGGTGCCCAACCCAGCACCAAGCTCCCTCCTTTCCCTCTCCTTTAGTTTCTTTACTTTTTCTTTTCTTTCCCATCCCTTTTCAGGAATTCCTGCCTGCTTACCTTCCTTCCTTCCTTCCTGCCTGCTTCCCTTCCTTCCTTCCTTCCTTCCTTCCCTCCCTCCCTCCCTCCCTCTGTCCCTCCTTCCTTTCTTCTTGCCTTCCTTCCTTTCTGTCTACTTTCTCTTCTTCTCATTAGCTTTTCCTTTTTCCCGCCATTTTCCCTTGTTTGCCTTTCTATGGCTTTTCTTGGGAAATTCTGATGATGTGGTCTACAGCGTGTGGTACTGCTAATACAGAGCCTCTTTGGATCTTTGGAAGGACAATCTCCGTCCATGTGAGTCACAGCCTCAGAAACACAACAGAAGGCCAACTATGAGTCAGTTCCAATTTGACAACCACTTTTTTCTGTTATACACTGTCTAGTCGGAACGAACTCAAGCTGAACCTCCAAGCTGAACAGTTTTTTAGAGGCTGTAAATTGCAGAGGAGGAGATCGTTCATCTTTCTTCCATGGAACATCTGTCAGATTAGAACCGCATGCCTTTGGGTTTGTAGCACAACTCCTTATGAATAAGCTACCACAGCTAATTAGAGGGGCTTTTAAATTTCTATCTTCCTTCCTTTTGTTCTTCTCTCAGTTTTTGCTTTTTCTTTTGTAGTCCACTCTTGGTTGGATACTCACCCATCCAACCTTTTTCTTTTTCTTTATCCCACGTGACAGCCAGCGACAGTAGCCACACAACCCAGGTATACACACTTCCTACTGCCTTCACCAACTGGGCAAAGAGTAAAGACTGGCTCCTGAATCTTCTGATCAACAAAAGACTGTAGCAAACATCAGCCCAACCTGCCTTCAACTGCTATACACAAAACACAAACAACTACAAACACAAACTTCTATGTACATCAGACCCACCACAAGACAGAGGAAGGAAGACTAAGAATTAGCACATTAACAAACTATGAAGTATAATCAGATATATTAAAACAAAATAATATATAAACATCACCACCACCATATCTCAGAGGGAGCAGATAATTTAAAGGAAAAAAAAATTCAGGGTAAGATTTAAATGAGTGACCAAAATACAGAACAAGAAAAAGTCTCATAGGAAAGATGCTATTGGAACTTTCTGATAAGGAATTAAAAAGAATGATAGTTAAGTGTCTTCATCAGATTGAGGAAGAGTTAGTTCTAGGAAACTACAGACAAAATTAAGGAAAATGTAGACTGTGCTAGAAGAATTGGGGGGAAATCAAGTAGGTTTGCGTTGCTGTGGTTTTTTTCTGTTGGTTTTTTTAAAGTAGAAAATTACAAAAATAGTAAATTGAGGTTCAGAATATTACAATTTGAGAAATAGATAATAAATTGGACGGATAAAAGAGTAGTATTGAATCAAATGAACACAGTTAGTGAGATGCAGGAGGTCCCTCAATACTAAATCAGATAGAACAATCAGAGGAAAAAGAACAATGATATAAAACTTAAAACCCAATTAATCCATCCACCTAGGGACAGCTGGTCTTTGACAAGGAGCTGAAATCTATTAAATGGGGAAAGACAGCCCCTTTTAACAAATGATGTTAGCAAAGCTGGGTCTCTACTTATTGTTGTAATTGTTGTTACGTGCCATCGAGTCACCTGTGACCTCATAGAGAAACCTGCCCTATCCTGAGCCAGTCTCACTGACTCCAGCACACCTACCCCCATTACCCCAGCTACTGTGTCAAACCATCTCATCCAGAGTCTTTCTCTCCTACGCTCACCCTCTACCCTTCCGGGCATGATGTTCTTTTTCAAGGACTGATCCCTCAATACAGAAGTAAACAGATTTTTAAAATGTCAAACAATAAATATGAGTCAGAGCTTCAAAAATCCTTGCCTGAAAGGAGAAACTTTGTTTCCTCTTCTCCAAGACAGACTTATTTGTTCCAACAGTCCCTGGTATTTTTCATACTCTTATCCAGTACCATAACTCAAAGGCATCAATTCTTCTTCTGTTATCCTTGATTGTTGTCCAGCTCTCTGATGCATAGAAAGTAATTGCAAAGACCAAGGCCTGGATCTGGTGCACCTTAGTCTCTAGACTGACAGCATTGCTCTTTAGCACTTTGGAGACATCCCTGACAGCAGACTTCCACAATACATCTTTTTATTTCCTGACTGCTGGTGCCAAGAGCATTGATTGTGAAGCTGAGCAGGCTGAAATTAACAATCTAAGTATCTTCTCCATCTATCATCCATCTTGATGTTAAGCTTCATTCCATATTGAAAACTACAGGCCTAAACCTTCTGCAGCAAATGCTTCAGGTTCTCCTCAGTTTCAGCAAGCAAGGTTGTTTCAGCTTCATAATGCAGGTTGTTGATGAGTCTTCTTCCAGTCCTAATGCCATATTCCTCCTCATAAAGCCTGTTGTTGTTGATTGTCATCAAGTTGAGTACGACTCATAGCAACTCTATAGACAAAAGACCTAATGCCTTTCCAAAACTATTGTCCTTTCTCCAAGTTCATAGAGTTTCCATCATCAACTGGGAGCTCCACCAAACACTGTCCACATTGGGAAGTAAAAATTAACAAATAGATAATGTTTTTGTGTTGTTGGTAGTGGTGGTGCCATTATGTCTACTCACTACAACTCCTAATGATCCTGTGAACAACAGATTTGGACCTTGGCCCATCCTGTACCATCTTCGTCCTCTCTGATATGTTCCAGCTCATTGTTATGGTCACTGTGTCAATCCATCTTGTTAAGGGTCTTCCTCTCTTTATCTGACCTTCCATCTCTCCCAGTGATGTCCTTTTCCAAGGACTAGTACCTCCTGACAGTATTCCCAAAGCATGTGAGAAGAAGTTTATTTAGCTGTTTGGAGAGAAAGTCCATATACAGTAATGACCAGATATTGTGAATATTGTAGTTAATGTTATTTTTTTATTATTAAATTTTATTAGTTTTAATGAACATTTACAGGGATTTTGGGTTTTCATTCTTTCATTGCTGCACCATTCTCTCTACCCTCCTCCCCAGTTTGTTCTTCTTCCCCTGCCATCTGAATGTCTATTTTAATTGTCCAATTGCCACAGTGCTTGTCAAAGTCAGTTCTGATTAATCTCCTTTGTCAGTGTGTCCTTTGCCATTCCCTATCACTCCTCTCTGAGAGAGACTTCACCCTGATTCATAAGAGGGGATGGCGTATTCTCTTAGCTACTTCCTGCTGAAAAGGGACGCTGTGGGTTTCAGGGTGAAGATCTTCTCTCACTACTCTAAAGGGCCCCTTTGGCAGTAGGAAACACATAGACTATTATGGAGATTGATTTTGGAATTTAGATGCACTGTTATTAATTGTGCTTAGCCGTACATGTTCATATCCTTGAAGATGTATCATGGGGGTGTTGCAACCTAGAAGACACAAATTTAACTAACAAGTTATAAGTACATGAGTCAAAAATTATGGAAAAGTAAAAGAAAAGATTCTTTCATTGCTTTACAAACCCTCCCCCAGGTCCCCTCCACCATGTAGCCATCGCTCTAGACTCCTGTGATGACAGAAATACCTAGTCACATATCCTTTTAAACAGTTTTCTCCTTCCTCTGTTTCAGTGCAGTATACATTATTGAACCCATCTTCCTTAGTCTCTCCCCAACCCTGAGGTTAGTCCCATTCTACAACAGTGGCATCATGTAATATTTGTCCTTTTATGACTGGGATATTTCACTCAGCATAATGTTCTCCAGAGTCAACCATTTTGAATAATATTACATGAGTTCCTTGTTTTTCAATGCAGCATAGTATTCCATTGTGCAAACATACCACAGCTTCTCTAGCCATTCGTTTGTTGATGGGCACTTAGGTTGTTTCCAACTCCTTGCTATTGTGAACAAAGCTGCAATAAACATGGGTGTGCATATGTAGTTAATGTGATAAAACAAAATGTATGAAAGATTACGTGAAAAACTAATATAACCTGTAAACATTTACTCAGATCACAATTTTTAAAAAAACTCATTCCAAACAGTTAAAAATTTTTATCATATTGCATATAGTTATGTCATGATTTTTATAACCATAACAGTCTACTGGATATAATTTTTCAACTCATTTAGCTGGTCTGATGTCAATGGCCTTTAAGCATAAATATATAATCAAAGTAAATTATTAGTGATAAGCCTACTCCCAAGCTTCTTTGTGAATTTTATGGCAGAGATCACTAAAATTCAGTTCACCACTTCAGTGTTAATAAATGAAATGGACTTACTAGTTACTGTTGAAAACTTGAGGTCCTTTAGTCTTACTTTCTTGATTTCAAAGACCAGTTGGTATATATGCATTAGCAAACAAATTAACTAGCAACATAAATAAAATACTAATATTTATATATTATAAGCTTATTTATATGTTAGAATTGACCCACCTTTATCTTATCCAAATCATCTTTCAGTTTGGTATAGACAAGAGTGATCGAATTTATGATGATATGCCTGATATGGAGAAAATTGCAAATGTTCTACAGGACTATCTTGATGATTATAATCTCATACATCCCAAAGAAGTAAAGTTGGTGTTCTTCCAGGATGCTATAGAACATGTTTCAAGGTATAGTGCTACAAGGTGCTCAAGAATGCATTGATGGAATTTCTTTTGGTTTAAGTTTGTACAAAACTAGTTGTACAAAGTTCTGTTAGTATATATCATTACAACTAAAACATTTTAATTTTTTTCCTTTTCATGCGTGCAATTACTCATATTCATTGTGTTTCATGTACATAGTGTTTCATGTATGTGTTTCACATTTTTTTCATGGACATTATGTTTCATACAATCATTCCCATACATTGGAGATTTTTTTTGTTTTGTTTCAATGCTCTATCAAATACCTTTAATTTTTAATTCTGCAAAGTATTACATAGCCAATGAATTCACGAATGATGACTTTTTCATCCTTCCATACTGACAAATAAGCACACATACATTCTCTAAGCACAAAGCTTATATTCACAAATAATTTTTTTGCTTAAGACAAAACTTCAATTAATGATTACAATGGAATTTAGTTATTAAATGCAACCATAAGTCTAATATGCTCTCAATAGGGTCTAAGCAGTTGTTTCATGAAATCGGGATTGTATTCAATTGACATGCATTAATAATCTATACAACTTACTTTGTTGCAATCTCAAAGGCACGTGGTTCAAATCCGCCAGATGCTCTGCTGGAGAAGGAGAGGTAATCTCTTCCTCTGTCAGTTGGATCCAACTCAACAGTACACAACAAGGAAAAAAAAATCTATAACTTTACACTAAAAAAGGAATTGAATATAAAATTTCTCATAATTTTTGATGATTTTGAAATTTCTTAGAACAGATGACAAAAAAAACACAAAAAATACCTGCAAACCAAATTTTAAACATCTTCAATAAAATGGTAAAAAAATTGAATAAGTCTTTAAAGTTTTTATGCTGAGGTTAAGACTTAAGACATCAAGCTGGCCCCAATTTGTCAAAATTGACAGATAAATATGTGTAACAACTAACAGGCTCTAATTTCTCAATGCAAACATGTCTTTCTAACTACTGTGATAATATAAACATAGAAACATACACAGAATCAGGATAGCAATAAAATATAATAACAAGTAAATCTTACTTCTAACCTGTCAGCATAAACCATCTAGCATTCTAACACTGTGTCCCTCAAGTACAAAACTAAATTAATAGCAGAATTACTTTCCTAGATGGCATTCTTCTACGGAATTCTTACTCGCTGCATGCATAAGATCTGCAATCTCAGATCCACTGTCTAAAGTATGCCTCTGGAAACTCCGTGAACTCTGATAAATGGCCATGATTGTGGAAGGGTTTCAGGCCTTTTGTTCGTGAGGTCGCTATGAGTCATGTTCTACTTGATGGTAATCAACAACAAGAATACTTAAATCCAAATGGTACAGTTTAACAAAGTCCCCAAGTAATTCTTTTGTATAAATCACCTGGTAGTCTTTTTTTTTTTATTTTTTATTATTTTCTCTGTATGTGTACCGTCAAATTAGATCTGACTTGTACAGGAGGAAATGGCCCCTCCTTCTCCGGCAGAGCATCTGATGGATTTGAACTGCATATCTCTGGGATTGCAGTGCAGCTTATTGCCACTAAGCCACCAGAGCTCCCCTGGGAGTCTTTTTTAAATGTGGATCCTAATAAGTGAATTTGGGGAGGAAAGAAAGTCTAAGCACAATAAAGGGGTTAAAGTCCTAGTTAACCCCTTCTTTTAGAGTAGGGCATCAAATTTATAAACTGATGTAGCAACCTAAATTGTTAAACATATTTTCCAACAGAAATTTTTTTCATTGACATTCAGTGTACCATTTTTCTCTTCGAATTTACATGGCTACTAATAAGAAAAGAATTAAATTTTGAACATAACTGGTACTTTTCATCAGGCTAAAGTGCAGAATATCTCCATATCTCCGGTAGTTCAAGAAACAAAAATATCAAACACGTATAATAAAGAAATTGAAGTGACAATAAAACTAATATAAAAAAAGACCACTTAAATATACATTTGAACTGAAAATGACCAATTAAATTTCTCTTTCTTCAGTGAATCTATATATAAATCAAGTTCTCATGGAACTTGAGATTTGGTTTTTCGTCCCCAGGACCAAAATTTCCAAGATTATTATAAGAAAAAAATTAAAGTCAGGGAAAAGAACATTGAATGACAGTGGACACTAAGTTTTTATAGAACTTCTTTTTAAACTGAGATCTTGTTGAACGAAATACATGAAAATAATAATCCTTTGAGAATTTGGGGTTGTTTTTTTTTTTTTTCAGAAATAACTCCATCTTTTTTTAATTTTTATTTTGTACTCATTTACTTACAAAGTTCAAGTACATAGTTTTTCACACTGGATCATTCCCATTTGAGAATTGTTTTTTAAGCACAATAAACTTGGATCTTTGTCTTCAAGAAGATACTATAGCTCATATATTGTTGTTGTTAGGTGCAGTCGAGTACAACTCATAGTGACCCTGTGAACAAAAGATCTGAAGCCTGTTCTATCCTGCATCTGCACACTTCCTGACACACAGGGGCCCATTGCTGCAGTCACCATGTCAATCCACCTGGTTGAGAGTCTCCAAGGAATAGCCCCTCCTAGCAACATGCCAAAGTACTTGACATGAAACCTCATTATTCTTGTCTCCAAAGGGCACTCTGGCTGTACCCTCTCTAAGACATATCCATTTGTTCTCCTCATAAAGAAAACTATAAATACACAAGACTCTGGGAAGAGGAGAAAATCATAATAGATATTTTGACATTCTGCAGGCATAAAAATCTTTGGGACAGAGAGACAAATGGCCAAATGAATTTTCACTTCAGAATACATGTTGTTGTTGTTGTTATGTGCCATCGAGTCATTTGCGACTCATAGCGACCCTATGTACAACAGCCCTAAATTCTGCTCTATCCTGTGCCAATCGCACTGTCTCTGACACTCCCTTCCCGATTGCCCCAGTCACTGAATCAATCCACCTCAAAGAGGGCCTTTCCCTCCTGCGCTGTCCCTCCACCCTCCCAAGCATGATATCCTTCTCCAAGCACCAGTCTCTCCTTACATGTCCAAAGTATGTTAGACGGAGCCTCAGAATCCTTGCCTCCAATGAGCAGCCGGGTTTAACCCTTTCCAGGATGAATCTGTTTATTTTCCTAGCAGTCCATGGTACCCTCAATACTCTTCTCCAGCACCACAGCTCAAAGGCATCAACTCTCCTTCTATCCTCCTTAGTCATTGTCCAACTCTCTGATGCATAAGAAGTGATTGCAAAGACCATGGCCTGTATCAGGCGCACCTTAGTCTCCAGAGAGACACCATTGCTCTTCAGTACTTTGGAGAGATCCCTAACAGCAGACTTTCCCATAGCAATTTGCCTTTTCATTTCCTGGCTACTGGTGCCAAGAGTGTTGACTGTGGAGCCAAGCAAACTAAAGCTGTGAATAATCTCAATTTCTTCACCATCCATCTTGATGCTGCCAGTTGGTCCAGTGGTGAGAATCTTTGTCTTCTTGACATTGAGCCTCAGTCCATATTGAAGGCTGCAGTCCTTGACCCTCTGCAGCAAGCGCTTCAGGTCCTCCTCAGTTTCAGCAAGCAGGGTTGTGTCATCTGCATAACGCAGATTATTGACAGATCTTCCACCTATCTTGACCCCACATTTCTCCTCATATAGCCCACCCTCCCGGATAATCTGTTCTGCATATAGGTTGAAAAGGTATGGAGACAGGACGCATCCCCGGCGTACACCCTTCCTAATTTTGAACCATGCAGTGTTTCCTTGCTCTGTTCTGACGACTGCCTCTTGGTTCAAGTATAGGTTTCGCATTAGCACAATAAAGTGTTCTGGGATTCCCATTCTTCTTAGAGTCAGCCGCAGTTTGTTATGATCCACACAGTCAAATGCTTTTGCATAGTCAATGAAACACAGATATACATTCCTCTGGTATTCCTTGCTTTCAGCTAAGATCCATCTAACATTACCTATAATATCACTAGTACCACAGCCCCTGAACTATCGGCAGCTGACGTGTTTGGAATCATGGCAGCCAAGTAAGCTTCAGATATAAGCTATCAGATCAAGGGTCAGAATACATAATTATGAAAAATACCTGGATCAAAAAATTCTCAAAATGGAACTCTAGTTTGAAAGAGAATGTGAAAAAAAAAAATCTTAACCTTTTTTAAAGGAAAAGAAAAATAATTAAAGAATTTCATTTTAGTCCCTTCCAAAAGGGAAATTTTAAATTGAGGGAAAAGTTCCTAATAGTATAAACTAGTCTGGCTCAGAAAAAATTGAATAGCAAATGCAAGATTCTATCCATAAAAGTAGTAACAGCACATCTCTAATGTTAAAGAACTAGGCTATAAAAAAAGTTCATTCTCATCAATTGTTTTTCATAAAGGCTCGCTTCCGCTCTTTTGTGGACTCATAATAAAGTTTCATGGCTTTATTCACTTTCTAGTATTCCTCACTGGCCAATTCCCAAGAAAAGAGCCATTTAATACAATGAACTAACTGGCAGTTGGCAATTGTTATGTAAATGGATACTGCTTCTCGCTGGCTGTAGCAAGGTTCATCTGGTTTGATTCCCCTTTGCTCTGAAATTCTTCTAAAGCTAGTCTCACAGCCAGATACTTGGATAAGTGGTCAACAATGGCTTTACCTGAAGTCTTTATGTATCTTGTGTATGCACTGTCACCTTTTTTCCCTAAGTGTGGGGGTGTGGCCTGAATACTAACTCATTTTTACTAGCACCATTCATGACTGGATCAGTTGCCACTGTTGGATTTTTGTTGTCAAGGTCAAGCCAGAATCATCTGATGTTTGGGTCTGTTCGTTGATAGGTCCTGCTTCTTGCTATGTTTATTATATGCATTAATACAGTGTGAACTATCACCAATGTCTTCCTTCAGTTCCACAACCATTTTCAATCTGTTGTTCCTTGTCTCGCTGTAGTCTGTTCAGAGCCTGTATTTTCAGTACTTCCTCAGTGCTGTGACTGAGTGCTTGCTGATTATTGTGCTTGTTGATCCAGGATAATACTCTTATCTTAATGAGTTTCATAAGCATTATGGCTAGAATAAATTTTGCTGATTAGAGCATCAAAGTTTGGGTCTGGCCTTAGTGATATTTCGGAAGCTAGCTTTTTCTGACAGGAAGGACATTCTTTGTTGCCACTTCTGAGGGCTGTGATAATGCAATCTGCACAAAAACGATGTAAATTCTCCTTTGTAGTCATAATATTCTTCAATATTTCCAAACATATTGGGCACATTAATCCACTAGTGCAGACTTCGAGGGGAAACCACAATTTCCAAACATCCGTTATTGCCCCCTGAGAAGTTTGGTGTAATTCATATAAACCAATTTCCATGTTTTATTTAACGCCTGAGTTCCATTCGTCTGCACAGCCTGAGACATTGCTGATTTCATTTTTCTTTCCAAATGTCAATTTTAAGCAACAGGAACGCATGAAACTATATTCCTTTTCTTGTTCTAGGTGGTAAGTTTTCAGTTCAATGCGAATGCTATTAGGTGGAGACTGAGGAGCTGTTATACACTGTAGAGGTGGAACCAACTCATAGCTGACCCACTCCCAGCGAGTTTTCAGAGGCAGCTCTTGCCCCAGCCTGGGCTCTGCTGGCCAGGACCAGAGTGAGATTTGAGTGTAAGCTGCTGCTGCCTCCACACATACATTGTGTTTTATAAAATTAATCACATTACCATTACCCCATCTTTTCAGGTCAGCTGGATCTTTCCCTTTCCCCCACTTCCTTTACTCCCCTCCTTCCACTCACCAATTTGTACAACCTAGCGATTTCCACACGCCCTGCCCTCACCACACTGATCCTCACCCCTCTACTCCCACCTCTTACCCCTTTGGGTTTCCATACTATTTTACTTGTTATTTTTCTATTTTTTACAAATACTGCAGTATTTGTCCTTATGAGACTGAGTTTGTTCATTCAGCATAATGCTCTCCTGTCTCTGTGAAGTTACATAATATTTTTCAAAAGCTTTGTTCCTGAGTGCTGCATAGTATTCCATCATATAAATGTACCACAATTTTTCAAGCCATTCAATTGTAGTTAGACATTTGGGCTGTATCCATGTTCTTGCAATGGTGAATAACACTACTATGAACACTGGTGTACAAATCTCCATTTGTATCTCAATTCCAATTTCCTTGGGGTATGTTCTGAGCAGTGGAATGACTGGATCATATGGATTTTCTATGTTCAGTTTTTTTTTTTAGGAAACGCCAGACTGCCTTCCAGAGTAGTTGTACCATTTTACAATCTCACCAACAGTGTATGACAGTTTCTGTCTATATTTTCTCTCTGTATTCTCTCCAATGTTAATTACTTATTATCCTGTTAAACTTTGCCACTGCTACTGGAGTGAGATGGTATCTCATTGTAGTTTTGATTTGCATCACTCTTATTGCCAGTGATTTTGAGCATTTCTTCATATGTCTGTTGGCCATCCAGATGTCTTCCTCTGTTAAAAGACTTTCCATGTCTAAGAAGTATACTATATG